GCTCGAAATTAAATACTGCGTCATTTAGTTTTCGTCTTAAACATTGTTGCGTAATCTTCCATTGCAAAAATTTTTACTGTGAACATTTTCTGAAACATTCTTTTAAATAACTGAATGATAATCGCTATTGGTTTTGCATTTGGTGGGAAATAATATTTGATTCATGGCAAACATGAGAATATGCGGATTTACTCTCTTGCAGGATAGCATTCAATTGCGACTTTCGATGAGAAAATCTTTTCAAATTGAGACTGCAAGAAGCACTTTTTTGATGGAGCATTTGAATTGAAAGTAGATGATTATTGCATTGTGTAGTGTACAAACCTCTTTGAGTTCGCAGTAAATGACACGTTGATGATCTGGTTTCTCGAAGCACTCGTCAGCCCTCACAAACATCTGTAAATTATCGACTATTCAACCACTTGAACGATCACAAAAAAGATCAATAACAAGTTTTCCTCTTGTGCCAATTGACCCAATTTACACTTCACTATTTACGCTTCTAAAAATAACAAAACAAATTCACACACACACTCACATAATTCCCATAGAAACTCATTCAATTCTTTTGACTGCAGCAATTGCATTCCAAAGTCCATTTTATTACTGAACAATTTCGCCGTAAATCACCTCTAAAAGCTCATCGAAAGAACATTTTCGCTGGTAAAAAATTCAGTTAAAGTGCTGCTTTGCAGTAATGTTTCCTAAAGAATTCACAAATGTGATGTCTCTTCACCAGTCCACAATAGGAAAAATTTTCATGATAAATATCACAAGAACATAGTTCCCACCAGTATCATCTTCGTAATCTTTTCCCATTAGATCTTAGCAAGCAATTTCTCCCATTTCACCAAGTTTATGTAGAAAATCTCAAATCAATTTTTTGGTAACCGTTTTTTATCCCACACGATAGTGCTTTTATTTGAGTTTTACATTTGCTGGTGAATGATGTCAATTGACTTGAAAATTGTCATCTCTCATAAATCCACTTGTAATGATCACTTTCAAAGAAGTGGCAAATGAGAAAAAATCGATCGACCAATAACACCTTTTTATGAAAACCAAAAAATGACACAAACTATCAATTGCAATTATGTTTGACTCAATGTGACACTGTTTCTACTATGAATTTTTCGTGCTATCATTTAAATTTTCACAAAAAAAAACGACTACAAGAAATGTCACCACTCAGGAGCACATCAACAAAAATGAGTGCACAACACAGTATGTTGCTCCAGCAGTTCACTGAACAATTATTTCTATTGCTTTCTATTGCTTAAAATGTTTTCGAATTCAATTCCATTGAAGAAGTTCTTCTGCTTCACCGATCTGCTCCCGGCCGTCCCCATCAACCCACCAGGTTCATAATTAAGATTGTTATCGTGCTCGTGCTGTCTTCTTTATCTCATGTTCCTGATTTGATGATAATCTTGTGGTTTTGCAGCATCGTTTTCATCGTTCTTGTTCAATAACGAATATGAGTTGATGAATGAAACAAGACGGTAGAATATGAAAAAATCATTTCTCATTCGATTGAATTATCGTTTATTCTTTCCACTGTTCACAGATCACTATCGTGTTATTTCTTCCCCTCTCAAAATCGCTGTTATTCTCTCATTGTCAGATCTGTTTTCATTAGTATTCCCTTTCTCAATAACAACAATATTCACCAACTTCTTAGTAACTATCTACAATAATTCGACCGTTCGGACAGACCCAAATGTAGAAAAACTTCAAGTGAATTCGCTAAATACGACAAACCAAAATAAAAACAACAACGTCAGATTGTACTATGCGCATGCATTGTGTAATGAAATTGATGATGATGATGATGACAGTAAGTGCTCTAGTTGACGTCTTGAAATATGAATAACAGCATGGGAAAATTCCCTACATTAGTAACTAAAAATTTGGAGAGAAACACTGAGAATGCTCGGCGACTGCTGGGAGAGTGATCAGTTTCAGATTGACAAAACAGGCTTGTAATGTTTCATCGAGAAACCTCTCTCAAACAAGTTGTGCGAGTTACTACAAGATTACAACTCTGTTGATAGAATTATGATTTGATGTCACAATTGGAGTGACCGAATGAAACGAACTAACTGTTTAGCTGTCTTCAGGTGAAATAAATCATTTGTGACAATTACATGACATAATAGAGGAATCTTTGATCTCTCAATCTCTGAGAGAAGAACATACATGATCAGGGATAGTCATAGAAAGTCTCAAAACCATCATAAGCGATTTTAGGTTGTAATGATCGCCTTCGTTGTCCTATTCTAACTTCTAATGATCCGTATTCTTCAGAATGTTGTGTTATCCTTAAGACAGATCGATTATTTTTTTCGTTCAAACAAGCATAGAATTATCCAATTGTCTGCATCAATTACCCAATCATTTACAGATATAGTTGAAAACGATCAGCTCAAAAAGCAGATGCTACTGTCCCTTCTTTACAATGCTTACGTAATTTGAACTCAATTATCTGCATTGAAGGCTTCCTTACGATGTAATGGTTCACGAAATAAGCTATGTTCTGATGATTTATTTCATATCATATCCATCAGTCCTCACTATCAGTCAAATTTTACTGAATCATTGAGTAATGAGCAGTTGCTTTTTTTGCGTAAAGCTGAACAGATATAAATGAATGTGAAGTAATGGAACGAGATTGTATCAAATGCAACACCACACACTGAATAGCATTGTGATGAACATGAAGACCGTCAACCAATTCAACCGGCCTCATTGAGACCTTTTTAATGGGCAATTGTTCGTGACAACGATTCAGTAGACTGAAATGCAACGTTCTATGCCCAAATATGTTTATTTGTGAAGTATGTGGGATTTGCAATCAGCCAGTCATACGTCCACACTAAACGATTTCTTTTTTCATTTTCAATGATGTTCCACTAAGGTAACTACTGCCAATATGGCGTTTGATGAATGATTTCATATCAGCCTCTCATAGTCATTTCTTCAACGCAAAAACCACATACAATGTTTTAGGATGACATTCACCCAGAACGCTCTGACAAACTGAAAACTACAAATGTTATAAAATGCAGTAAAACTGAATGACAAACGATAAAATTCACTTACGCATTCCAATGGAGTCATATTTGGTTGGGATGTTATGGTTACGTTTCAGAGCTGATAACGTTTATTGATTGAGATTGGATGATCGGATGAATTAATGAATAATACAGAATTAGAGGTACTTATTTAGTTGATAATCAGGCAATATGAAGAGCTGCGATTCCAGTGCGACAATTCAAAGGAGAAGACGATCGTCTAGAGAGGAGCGGCGATGAGCACTGCTGATAAGATAGGCTAATAATAGTCGAGTAATCGATAGGTGATAACAGATGATCAAACACAAAGATCAGATTGCATTCAGTGAAACGGATGGAAGCTGTTCACAACCGAATTGTTGTTGGTGTATGAGTAAATGCAGTAGGCGAGTGTGTGGCTAGCCTTGTGCACACGACGATGCCAAACAACAAACACGAACCGAACCGATCGATGCCACAATTTTATACGACTGGAAACGTAGAGGCATGTTGTTGTTAACAGGATACTGGACGGGGCGTGTCATGAGACGCTGCTTCTGATTAACCGTTGGAACTTACACACATCCGTCATTAACGCAAAACATTTCGATGGGACAGCACTAATCGTGAGCGAATCAAAACAACGCACAAAAAATGGTGAAAATACGGGAGAGTAGTGATTGGTTTGATTTATGAGCAAATGATCACTTTTGAGAATTTCTCGTTTTTCATGAAAGATTACGATGTCGAAAACGGAATGCATCGAATTTTGCCACGGGAATGAACGTTCGTTCCGATCACGCAGTGAGACTGCACTGTTCTGGTAAAGAATATGTGATAACATCAACGCCTCTCAGAAGCAATGCAACTAACTGTC